GCGGGGGAGTGGGTGCTCCTGGCTCAGGAGGCCACCAGCGCCTTTACCAGGGCGTGCACGAAGAGCCACGGACACGTGCAACCCAGGGAAACGCCAGACCATGGCTACGCGCCACGTGATGGGCACACACCAGACCACAGACAAACACCACACCATGGGCACACTCCAGGCCGCAGAAACATGCCACACAACAGAAGCACACCAGGTCGTGCCAGCACAGGAGGTTCACTAGCACATGCAACACAAGGACACACCAGGCCCCGTGGGGGTTAGCAGTAGCCCATGAAACACCAGAACACACTTGCATCCCCACAGGAGAAACAGGCACTTTTGTGCCACCCTGGAGAGCTCCACACCCCACTGCCCCATGTCCACAAGTGCACTGCTGTGTCACACAGATCAGCAGGAGGAGCCTGGGAAGATGGTGGATCAGCAGCCCTGGTGCAGAGAAACACACCAGCCTGCACACACCAAATGCACAACACTCCATGGTGCAATGCACAAGAGTGAGGCACGTGTGTATCAGGCAGAACACGCCATGATGTGACCCACAAGAGCCTGAGATGCTTGACACCTATAACACTCCAAGGTGTGATCCACAAGAGCCCAAGACACATGTATGTTGCAGAATATGCCAAAGCGTGATGCACCAGAGCCCAAGTCAGACACGTGACACGCAGAATACACCACAGTGTGACCCACAGGAGCCCCAAGACATGTGTGACATGCAGAACAGTGGAGCAACCCACAGAAACCCAAGACACGTGCAACATGCAGAACATGCAATGCACAAGAACCCAAGACACGTGCAACAAATAGAGCACAACACAATGAAACCCACGAAAGCTGGAGGCCTCCACGCACATGACTTGCTCCACCCCCACCACACAGGGCACACATGTACCTGGAAGGGCTCTGGGGGCAGGGAGGGCAGAAGCAGCAACAGCAGCAGGAGGCACAAGCATGACACTGATCCAGAGCACATGCTTTCACATAGTGTCACACCTTCGCATGCAGCCTCATGGCACGGGCAGACTCTTCTGACAGTAAGGAGATCCTGCGGCTCCAGCTGCTTAAACAGTCCTTTACAGTCTGCATCAAGCCTTGGTCTGATCCCCACCCTAGAGGCCAGGGTCCCTTTGCCCCACAACATCCACCCAGCCCCCGCCCCTCAGCAAAGCCAAGAACCAGGCCTGAAACCTGTAAGCCAGGGGACAAGATGGGTGGGGAGGGGTGCCCCCCCAGAAGGGGCAGGAGACAACTGACCGATGCCCCCAGCCATTCACTAGCATGTGCAACACAAGGAAACACACCACCAGCCCTGCAGTGTGGGATGGCAGTGGCCCATGAACTCCCACAGTGCACCTCTGCTCACCTCAAGTGCCTTTGTTGCATACAGATGTTCATTTGCCACCCTCCTCCTCCAACTAGTGTTGCATGAATGCACACAAGGATGCCCAGGTGATCATCAGGCCACTACCATGAGGCTTAGGGGAAGGCAGGGAAGGGGGTTAGCTTTTGGATGGAACTAGCAGACAAAAAATATTCCCCTCCTCCAGCCAGCTGGTGCCCCCATTTCCTGGGCATGGTGCCCACTCAGGGAGGCAAGATATTGCCCTATCCCTGCAACTCCCCTCCCAGGCAGCCAGTGCCCCTGGCTGTCCCAGCCCTGTTTCCATAGGATCTGTTCATTGTCAGCACCTGGAAGTCCCTCCCCAGGGGAGATGCACAGAGGTCCACAAGGCTCGTGGGTGGGGGATCCCAACCTGCTCAGCTCCAGGTCCTGGGTGATGCCAAGCTGGGAGGGAGGGAGAGAAGCAGGGGACACTCCACTCTCAGCCCAGCCTGCTAGAGGGGTGTTGCAGCCTCGGCAGGTCACATGAGATACTGGCAACACAAACGACAGGGATCAGTATGTCACGGACTCGCTCACACCTTTATTCACAGAGACACGATCCAAACACAATCTGCAGGGCCCAGGTATTGGCTTGCCAGGACACAGGCTCTGCTCCCCTCCCAGAGTGGGGAGAAAACCCAGGCATCCCAGCTGCTGGCCCCACCCCTCCCCCTTCCACCCCCCCCCTTAGGAATTTCAAGCGCTTTCCCAGGCACCAGAGCTGCTGGACCAAACCAGGCACCTGGTGGGGAATTGAGTTAGCGCTGGGGAGTGGGGCAGGGCCCCACTTCCCAGGCCTGGCCCCTTCTCCCACAGCTAATATGTGGGGGGCTGAGCAGGGCTTGCTACACCCTTGCAGGAGGCTCATAGATGCCTGGGTCCCCTGCTCCAGAAGGGGTCACAGGGGGTTGGGGGCAGGGTAACAGAAATGGTCTGAGGTGTGAGAGGCACCAGCCAGGCTGGGGGAAAAAAAAAGAGCTGTGGGTTGGGAGTGAGGGGCACCGGCAGGGCTGGGGAGCAAGGTGGGGGCAGCAGGTCAGGAGTGAGGGGCACGACCAGTGGTGGGGAACACTGCAGCTCTCACCACCCAGTGGCCATTCACTGCACTGCACTCACTTTCAAAGTTGGGCAGGGGGAGGGGGGGGGCACAGTAAGGGTACCCCCTTGCCTGGCACAGAGGTGCAGCCACCTCTGGGGATGGGCACAGGTGTGTGTGTGTGTGTGTGTGTGTGTGTGTGTATATAGACATGTATGTGCGTGTGCCCAGGGGGTATTCCCATTGCCTCTGGTTCTCACAGACATGCAAGGCAGCCGCACGGATTCACACTCGCTCTGACTCACGTACGGGGAAGGGCTTTAAATAGAGAGGAAATAAATACTGTACAGAGAGGAGCTGGAGCAGCAGATGCAGCCATACTGAGAACTGGGGGT